CCCTTTCTCCATGTGTTCAATACTTTTTCCCTGTGCCACATTATTACAAATAACTTAATTTCTGGACATTTATGGTTTGATTTCTTTGTATGTATGGATCACTTGGGTTGTTACCAACATCTGGTGAAAATTTCATGTCATTAGCACCTCTAGTAATATATTTACTGAGAAAAATGGTGACATGTTCAATACTTATTTTACCCGCTGTTTATACACTGCTCAAAAAAATAAAGGGAACATTTAAACAACGCACGCCAAGTCCAAGTAAAACAAACTTTTGTGAAGCACATTCAACTCTGTACAGAACAAAGTACTCAATATTTCATTGATTAAGATAGGGAGTTAGCATGCGTTGTTTAAGTGTTCCCTTTATTTTTTTGAGCAGTGTATATATATATATACACACATACACACACACACATATTTTTTTTGCAGTTCTAATCTGTAATTTGTTGGGCTCACCTTTCTCCTTGTCGACACGAATGACAACGACGCACTCGTTGCGTCCGATGCGGATGAGCTTGTTGATGGAGCGGATACGTCGACGGGACAGCTCGCTCAGGAGGATCATGCCCTCGATGTTGTTGTACTCCAGGAGGCTGACGTAGGCTCCCATCTCGGCGATGGACCTGACGTTCACCATCACAACGTCCTCCACCTCTGGGAACCGGTGCTGGTAAAATCGACAACTGAGCCCCGGCATCTCTGAGGACACAAACAGTGCGTTAGTGTTACTGTGGAACAATAAAAAAATAAAAACCGAGTCAGTCAACTGTCTGAAATGACTCGCTTTATGGCAGCTGCTTCAATACTACTAAAAGAGTCACTAAACTTGAGGACATTTATTCCAACCTTTAAATCAAACGTGTTGAAGCAGAAAAACAACTAAAACATGCAGCCAAGTCATGAAGCACAATGTAACTCAGAATACGGCTCCTGCAGAAAATAAAGTAAGAAAAATCCAAACAACTTGAGTAATAAGTTAATATTTCATGTGGTTTTGAGATATTTAGATGTTTACTTCTGTTTAAATTGTATGAAATAGCACAACAAATTGATGCCAACTGCTTCCTAGGTTAGGTGAAAGTAATAATTTCATGCTAGTGTTTGAGTCTATTAAATGCTACTATTGTGATGAATTATGATAAATACCATATTTTCACAATTTTATGAATTTTAATTAAAGTATACACTACAGAACTTTTATGGCACATTTGACTTTTAAAAAGAAGCAAAAGCAGCACCTTTAGGGGGGATATATTAGTTTGAAATTATAAAAGAGCAGTAAAACACGCCAGCACCTCTTATCTTAACTAACAGCAGTAACAGAAAAGAACAAACTGTTTGAAATGAACCAGTTTGTAGGACAGGGGTCTGCAACACATGTGGCTCTTTGGTTCCTCTGAAGCTTTCATCAAAACTAGTGTGGAAATAAAAATAATTTAAATTTGGATCGTGATAGCAAAACGACAGAAATATGCAGTAAATAGTTTTCACTTAAAACAAAAAAGGAGAAATAACTTAACTTTGAATACTGATTGAATTAAATAAAAGCCTTTGGTTTTATGAGGGGAAACATCCAACAAACTGGTCTAATTATATTCATAAACAAGTTTATTAATTTCAAAGTGGGATATTTAGATTACTTTTCCCCAGAAAGACTCAAAGATCTGCATATTTCAATGTTTAGATCCAATTAAAAGCAACATACACTTCTTTTGAATAAATGTTTGGCCTTTTTCATTGTTCTAACCTGTACTTTACATTTTATTGCATACTTCATAATGTCACACATTATATATCCGTTTATATGTACTATTAAAATAGCAGTAAATTATGCTGTTTCAAGCTGCTGTTTGCAGCACTGGGTGAGTTTTGTTTAGTGCAGAGGTGCCCAAAGTGGGGCCCGCGGGCTAAGATTGGCCCGTCAAGCCATTTGATTTGGCCCACCAGCAGTTGTCCTGGTTATTAGATTGTAATTATGTTAAGAATAAATATTAAATACAAGTAACTACAAGAGACATTTAGATTAGATTTAAGCCCATGTCTAGATTTGCACATCTTATAAGACAACATAAGCTGTGTCCAAAACGACAGGACGGGTCCTCCGGAGGACCCAGACTCCCCGGTCTCGGAGGGCCGGGTCCTTGGTAGACCGGGAAGACCGGAAAAAAAGAGGCTGTGGATTTGGACGGTCTAGCCTCCCCTCCTTACCCCGGTGTACGTCTTGTCACCTAGCAACTGTGACAACGCTAAACAAGCAAACTTAAATCAAAACTAGAAAAATATCAACACATTAGCATTATTAATATCACAAAACTATAAAATTAACTTAAAGGTATCATTTGAAGAACTAATTGACCTGCTGTAGGTTCATGTTTATTTCGCGTTTTTTATGACGAAAAAATAATATGTAAAAACATGTCCATACAAATGATAAAAGTATTAGAATTACAACCGCTAATTTTTTTTAATTTTTAAATCACCATATTTTTATTTAAAACGTATTCTTTTCTCTCGCTTCGTCCGCCATTACTAGCTTAAAAAAATCTCCGGTCGGGCCGCAATGCATTCTGGGATATGCTGGGCCGGGAATGATCCATCGGACCTGTCCTTCGATTCGGGGAAAAAGAAGGACGTATTTGTCGGACGCATCGGAGGAGTCTTCCGTTTTGGACGTCCTTCGTCGCGGCGCTGTGACGTATGCGGCCGACAAATTCGACCTTCGGAGGACCCGTCCTGCCGTTTTGGACACAGCCATATACTCAAATTTTAAATTATGAAAAGTCCCATGAGCCTTTGCTGCCTGAGCATAAGTTGAATTTTCTCCATGTCCATGGGCTGAAAAAAAAAACAAACTAAAGACTGTGGGCAATCACACTGGCTGCTAGCTTAATCATAAAAAAAAAATACTTAAGTATTAAGCATTTCTTATATTATTGCATTTGGCCCACAGCCCTCAGATTGATTTTAATTTTGTCCCTCTCAGGGAAAATGTTTGGGCACCCCTGGTTTAGTGAGAAAAATAACTCTTTTTATTGTAAAGGTTGCAAACCATAGAGCTAAGATTAAATGACAAAACCCTCTGAAAAGTCAACACTGAACTCTTGAGTCAAAATACTAAACAAATATTAAAACTTATTTTCTATTAACTCTGCAATGTAGTCACTGAAGCTATACCACCTAGACATAATGAGCCTTAATTAAACTCATTAAAAATAACCAAGTAAAACATTTATTTATATTATACATTGATACAATTCATATTTAAAGCAATTTAATTTATTTCCTTAATTTTTAAGGAAGCTTTAATCAGAGAAACTGAAACGTACTTACTTATTGTTCATCATTTACAGTTACATAGAGCTAAACTCTAACATTTAGCAGAGTTTAACACCATCTGAACTAAAACATTTAGACTCCCAACAGATAAGTATTTATCAGCAGCTGGACCTTTCTACAGCTTTGCTATTTTTTCCTCTTTTTTATCTTTGAATGAGATGATGCAACGCTTGTTGAGTCGGCTTTCCTGAAGTTTAACAGCAAAATAAACTAACAAAATACATTTTCAGTAGAAACGAAGCCTTTAAACACTTATTACAAATCATCATAAGTGAATACTTTCAGTTTTAGTGACAGAAAATGTCAAAAACTAAAGCGTTTACTTGGTTTACGGCATTTACGTTAACGTTAGCTTCCCGGCTAGCCCGGTTCGCATCACATGCGGCTGCGGAGGCTACTTGTTTAGCTCGCAGCTAACAGTCTCGTCATCGCTCCAAACGTCTCATTTGTCAGTAAAAACTCACCTGTGTCATGGGGTTACAGAACTATAAAGTGAAACTTCCTGCGCTGGACGCGTTGAAATGTCTCTGTTTTCTTTAGGGTGTTAATAAGTGGAACAAATCGATGCCGTTAGCTCACGTTCGTGGGTGTGCTAATTTCTTTTTGCCCCGGAAAGAGTTAAGAGCGTCGCGATCTGCGCATGTGCAGAGCCAGCTCCTGGGTCACATGACCAAAGGGGGAGACCAGCTGATCATCTGAGACGGACAAGATCACGACCATTAGCTTGTGATATGAGCATTTAATCCTACCCGAAGATCCTTTTTTTTTTGTTTTTATAAATCGACTTTAGTACTTTATAAATACAAGCAACGTCGATATATTAAGTTTATATTGAAGGAGTAAATAGAAAACAACGGTGGTCGACCAAAAAACGAGAAGATGTCTGGAAAGGATAGGATCGACATATTCCCCTCTAGGATGTAAGCAGCTTGTTTGCTTGACATTTGCTAACAGCTACAGCTTCTTAACTAAATTATATATTGTTTTTTAGGTCCTAGGGTTCATTATTTTCTGCACTGCGGACTGGTCATTCATTTTATGATTGCCAGGCTGCTGTTTAAAAGAGGAAGAGTCCTTATTGTGTCATGTGATGTTTCTAACATCACATCTACTGACTTATTTTTTTCTGTTTTATGGTTTCATGGAAAGACTGAGCATAAGCTGTGCTAATTTAAAAAAAAAGCTCATTCATGCAAATTAATTAAATAAATAAACCCAAATATTTGTTGGTGAAAAAAAATTTATGGGACAAGATTTTCTGGATTGTGAGCCACGAGTCACTGTTTCATTCAAGCAGACAAACTAAAAATAAAGAGAAATCTTATAAAATTATAAGCTGGAATAATAACCAACAGGAACTAATATTATTTTACTGATAAGTTATTTTTTAAGTGTAATGAAATTAAAAATTAATGCCACATGTTCAGCAAAATTTTAATATTTTGTTGTTTGACTCAACCATATGTAATCTTATATGTTATTTAGAAATACAGAAAACTGCTAATTCTATATAAAAAAAAATCAGCCCCTCGAGGTTCTGTATATGAAATATGGCCAGGATAAACACCAAAAGACGTTTTTTGTGGTAAATCCTCACTGAACCACCTTATTTTAATTGTTGAATTAAAAACTAAAGAGGTGATAGCGGTGTAGTTATTAACCTATAAGAGTAAAGTGTTTCTCGGGGCTAAAACAACCACTGACAGATGATGTTGTGTGTCTGCAGGGCTCAGACCATCATGAAGGCTCGGCTGAAAGGAGCCCAGACGGGCCGCAGTCTGCTGAAGAAGAAGTCTGACGCTCTCTCCATGCGCTTTCGTCAGATCCTTCGTAAAATCATTGAGGTCAGTCGAAAAAAACATAAAAAAAATCCCAACTGTTTGTTTTTATTTTGACCAATTCATGTTACTTTTGTACACGTACCTGCAACCAATGTCATCAAGTAGAACAGTGATGATTTTAGCTCTTCTCTCTGCTCCTTTAGACGAAAACCAAGATGGGAGAAGTGATGAGAGAGGCCGCCTTCTCTTTGGCTGAAGCCAAATTTGCCGCAGGAGATTTTAGGTAAAACGAACAAACAGAGCTGCCATGTTTGTTCAGGTTTGCTAACTTTCATCTGTTCGCAGCACGACTGTGATTCAGAACGTCAACAAAGCCCAGGTGAAGGTTCGAGCTAAGAAGGACAACGTGGCAGGTTAGAGCCATCCTGCTCTCATTCTGATGGTCACAGAGCGACCGGAGGTTTTTATTCTGCCTGGTTTTTACCCCCTGCAGGTGTCACTCTTCCTGTTTTCGAACACTACCAAGAAGGCGGCGACAGTAAGTGAGGTGATGTCTGGGTTAGGGTCCTGGTGACGCTCAGAGAGGGGCTGATGGAAGCTGTGTGTGTCTGTCAGGTTATGAACTCACCGGTCTGGCCAGAGGAGGAGAGCAGCTCTCCAGGCTGAAGAGGAACTACGCCCGAGCCGTGGAGCTGCTCGTGGAGTTGGCTTCCTTACAGGTAGGGGGCGCTGTTCCACGTGCAGCATTCAGCGTTAGCCATTTTGGTCCCTTTAAAAGCTCAGGTATGAATTTCGTTTGCAGACGTCTTTTGTCACCCTGGATGAAGCCATAAAGATCACCAACCGCCGCGTGAACGCCATCGAGCACGGTAAACTCGTACAGCGAAGAGGATCTGGGATCTTAAACGGCTTGTTTTTGTGTTTTTAACGACCTTTACTCCACTCTGCAGTGATCATTCCCAGGATCGACCGCACTCTCACCTACATCATCACAGAGCTGGATGAGCGAGAACGTGAGGAGTTCTACAGGTGAGAACGTCCCGACTCTGCTCCACGTTTAAAAGGAGACATTTCCTGCTCTTAAAGGGATCCCTGATTAGTTGTAACATTAGAATTTATTTGATAAAAAATTTATTTTAACTGTAAAATAAAGACTGTAAAAATAATGTAGGCTGTTTAGTTTTTAAAATGTTTATAAATATATTTTAACACAGACGGAGACATTTTATTTACACGCAAAGCATTCTGGGTAAATGATGACGTGGATAGGTCCTCGGTGCGAGGTTGCTAGCGAGCTATATCCACCCTGAAGGTTAATCTTGGACAATATCTGATGATCGACTCTTTTAAATGAAACCAGAGAGCGTTGACAGAGAGGAGAAGGTAGAAATGACTCAGCCTGGAACTGAAAATATGGATGGAGGACAACAGAGCTGCTTCATGGAAGAACAACCTCAGCTTAGCCTGTTAGCCTTTGTGCTAGCGCCCACGCTATATCGCCTTATATGTTTTAGCTCTGCGCTAGCGCGACAAACAAGCCAAACTGTTGTCCTCCATCCATATTTTCAGTTCCAGGCTGAGTCATTTCTACCTTCTCCTCTCTGTCAACGCTCTCTGGTTTCATTTAAAAGAGTCGATCATCAGATATTGTCCAAGATTAACCTTCAGGGTGGATATAGCTCGCTAGCAGCCTCGCACCGAGGACCTATCCACGTCATCATTTACCCAGAATGCTTTGTGTGGAAATAAAATGGCCCAGTCCGTGTAATATATTTTAAACTTTTACAGTAGTTTAAAAATGATAAAAACTAAACAGCCTACATTATTTTTACAGTCTTTATTTTACAGTTAAAATGTATGTTTATCAAATAAAGTCTAATGTTACAACTAATCAGGGATCCCTTTAAATCCTTCACTTGGGGGTCTGAATCCCTCCCTATTGTAACTCCACAAGCCCTGCCCCTTTTCTGAAGCGTGTCTCCAATCAATTCGATTTGAGGCTGTCTCTTTAAATCCAAAGGAGGTGCTTGAAGCCCCGCCCCCTCCAGATTCCAGAGCGGTCCATTGTAGTTTGATAGAGGTGTTTACAACTATACAGCAACTAAATGAAACCTTTTCGCACTCCTAGAGACTCCCAAGTACACAGCAAAATAGATTTAATGGCTAAAAAAGTGAATTTTGCAGGAAAAGTATAAATCTGATCACACTCATAGGAATTGAACTAACAGGTTGTCTTCAAACTGATTTGCTGCCAGGCTGAAGAAAATCCAGGAGAAGAAGAAGCAGCTGAGGGAGAAGACGGAGCTGGAGATCGCTGCCCGCCTGGCGAAGCTGGGCCCGATCGCCGAGCCGTCCAACATGCTGACCGAGGAGACGGACGAGGACCTGCTGTTTGAGTGAAGCGCCCCGCCGGTCAACGCTCACCTATTTATTCTGTGCCTCTCTGGCCACGTTTAAATCTAAAAGTCATAAACATTTGGTTTTTTTTGTTTTGTTTTTGTGACCATGTTTGTGAGTAATTGTTCTCCTGTTTCTGTGCTGGAAGGTTTCCATGTGTCACTGTACAAAAAAAAAGTCTATAAATATACAGTATATATGTAAAAAAAACGAAACTAATGACACAGAGAACTTGTTTACATTTGCTTTGTGGGTCAAATTGAAGAAGCATTCCGAGTGACTGGTTCACCACATGTAGAGCCACTGCATGCTGTAAAGCTCAGGGTGGTTGTAGATTTCAATGTGTGTGTGTGTTGTAGAAACCTGTAACGCACAGGGTCACTGATACACAACTGGGAAGCATTTACGACTAAAAAGCTGGTAAATTCGTGACTCTGTAAAACTTTGTGAGCAAGTCAACGTCATCTGAATAAAGATGTTCTAAACAAATCAAAAGTTGATCTGATTTTTTTGTATTTCTGAGTTCAAACTGTGAAGTTTTTTTTCAGCACTTATTTAAAAAATAAAGTTTAGCTGTGGTGGGCACAGTTATGCTAATAGCAGCATTAGCTTTTCATTTAGGGAATTAGCTTTGATTTTTGATTTGATTTATTTATTTAACAGGAAAAGATTATTAAAAATCAAGCCTGACTTATCATAATTGCTATTTTACAGCAGGTTCCTGTTCTGCAGCACATAAAACACTCAGAATTACAGCATCACAATCACATCATTATACACCATAGACACAAAGACACACAAGCATACCAAATTTCA